CCTCCTCACCTGGCGTGGGGCGTCTGTGAAAGCCCTGCAGTGAGCCGGGAAGGCGAGAGCCGTCAGGCATGAGCAGGAGCTGCTGTGTCTGCCCTGGCCAGTCCTGCCGTGTCCCATGCTGGAGGTTCTGGCCTGTGAAGCAAGGAACAGAAAGGCAGCCAGACTGGAGAGGGGACAGGGAAGCTGCCTTTAACTGTTCATGGCCCAAAACACCCAGCTGGGGCTGAGCGCAGCTCAGGAGGGCGTGCAACAGGGGCACACAGACCCCCCCTGCAGACTTCCTGGCGCTCCACCCTCAGCACCAAAAGCAAACAAAACAAAACCCAGAAACCCTTGCTCGAGCTAATAAACAAGGTTAGCAGGTTAATTGTGATTAAACTTAACAGTACAGAGGAAAAAAAAATCCCTTCGTAGATTGGAGTTACCCAAATTCAAAGCTTCATTAGTGGTTGCCCAGGGTTTTGGATGGGGTGCAAGGAAATGGGGTACCGCCGCTGGGGGGGGGCGGTTACTTTGCAGGTGATAAAGGAAGAAACATTGACTCTCACGATGTGTGCACATATCTGTGAATAGACTGAATCTTTGAGCGAGCGGCACACTTGAATGGTTGAACTGTGTGGCGTGTGAAGTATACGCTGTTCTAACCTTCCAAAGGAAAAAAGAAAACTCTTACTCCCCGAAAGAGCATTTAGAGAATGGAAAGGCACAAACTAGGAGATAATGTTTGTAAATCGCATAACCAACAAAGGCTTTGAGTGAAGAGTACGAAGAAGTCTCAAAACTCAACAAGAGGGGGCTGAGGATATAGCTCAGTGGGTAGAGTGTTTGTCTCCCATGTACAAGACCCTGGGTTCAATCTCCAGACCTACCAAAAAAAAAAAAACTTTAATAAGAGGGCTGGGGTTGTGGTAGAGGCTCACCTAGCACGTGCACGGCCCTGGGTTTGATCCTCAGCACCACATAAAAATAAATATTAAAATAAAGGTATTAGGTACAACCAAAAAAGTAAATTAAAAAAAAAAAAACTCAACAAGAAAGCAAACAACCCCCCTATTTGCCCCCAAACAACTGGACGTAAGATTCGAATGCACTTCATCAAAAATGCCTCTGGCAAATGAGCCATGGAAAGATTATAAATATCATCGGTCATTAGGAAAATGCAAATTAAAATCATGATCAGATACCACGGCCCACAGTCAGAATGTCTGAGGTATGTCTAACGAGGCTATCAAGAGCTTGATGAACGGGTGGGGGGACCTGGACTTCCACACTGCTGGTGGGAACACACATGCTTTGGGGAAGTTGGACACTTGCTCTCTCCGTCCCATCCCTCAGTGTCTTAAGTGAAAGCTCAAGTCCCAACACGACTCCTCTAACAGCGTTCCCAGCCGCGTGGTTTGTGATGGCCCCAAACCAAAGCACAGGAGGACGGGCCCACAAACCGCAGCTTCCCACGACTGGACGCCACTCTCCTCATGTGACAGAAGGAAGCCCCCCATGGCAGCCAGCGGCAGGGATGAGTCAAGACCAGGACAGAGGACATGGTGAGCAATTCCAACCGAAGACAGCAGTGGTCACCTGGGGACACGCCTGGGCGGGGAGGCAGGGAGGAGCTGAAGGGGGGGGGCTTGACAGGTGCACGTGTGTCCAAACTCATCACATCAGGCTTTTTAACGTGATTACACAATAATGATAATATTAAGCTGGCCTTCAAAGTCAACGGCAAGAGAAACAAGTGACACGAGAAGTAAGGGAAAGTTCGTCCCCTCCCACTGGGCCTTCTCTCCGCCGAGTGAGCTCCGCAGCCAGTTTGGGACTTGGCCACACGTTTCGCACATGCATGCCGCAGAGCCTGAGGGAGGCGGTGAGATTGTTATTACTCGATCATATTTTAAAGGGGGGCTCATGCCAACCACTTCCCTCTGTTCTTTTCCCCTCTTTACCCAATATCGGATGGGCCCCCTTCCTTGTGGATCGACACAGATCTAACGCATTCTTCCTCAATGTCGCCACGCTGTGAAAATGCGATTGATCAATCATTCCTCTAAAGGTGCACATCTTGATTGCTTCCCATTTCTTTTCCTCTTGCTTTGGTTTTGCCCTCCATAAACAATGCTGACTCAACATTCTTTTGTCTCTATTTTTATGCATTTCAGTTTTTAGTTTCATAGAGGAGGTCCCTGAAAGTGGGACCACTGGGTTAGAGCTCACGGTATCATTTTCTTGGTAGAGCTCACCAGCTGTGCTTCCCAGAGAGTGGCTGCAACCTGCAGTTGCACAGGTGGGGAGGCGCCAGAGCCCACATCTGGCTTCCTTGCAGCCCAAGACCGCTGTTGATCGCCAGCAACCTAGAGGCTCAGCGCAGGTCACTCCCTGGTCCTAATTTGCATTTTCCCATCAATGAGGCTAAACACTGTTTCATGTTTCACCCCTAGGACCAGTGAGCTCATTGTTTCCCCTTATACCATGTTGCTTTATTGGGGTTACATTGTACCCCTGGGGAGCTGCCAGGTTGAACCCGGAGCTTGCGCATGCTGGGCAGGCAAGCGCTCTACCACTGAGCCACATCTCCGTTCCTACATAGGTTTTAGGTACAATCGACTCTGAATCTCCTTTTCTATGAATTACTTGTTTAGACTTTTTGCTTTTTTTTTTTTTTTAACATTGGGTTATTTATCTGTTTCTTGTGAAGTTTATTGCGATTTTTTTCTTTTTGTAGTGGTGCTGGGTGTGGAAGCCAGGGCCTCACAGGTGCTAAGCATGTGCTCTGTTGCTGAGCTACATCCCCAGCCCACACGAGCTTCCCCATTCAGAGGGAATTAAACATGGTATCACAATGTCCACAAGGCTGCAGACACATGGGCACATGGACCATGCACACACACACACACACACACACACACACACACACACACACCACTCAGAGGCAAGATGGGGAGAAGGGCGTATTTCAGGTCACGTTCCAGCAGGAAGACCCAAGGTGGGGGGTGAGGTGTGGAGCACAGGGTGACAGGTGGGCTGTGGGTGACCAGGCAGCCAAGACTGACCTTGGAAAGGGCTGGAGGTCCCTGCTATGACACTGTCTCCAACTCCTGAGGCCTGTCCTGTGAGACCCTGCGGCCCTGACGCCTGGCCACCACTCCCCACTTCCACCCTCCCTTCCCTGTGCAGTGGAGGCTGTTGCGCCAGGGACTGACGAGAGGGCAGGGCCAGTGCTCCTCTGGAGCCTCCACACAGGTTTCTTCCCTGCTGACGTCTCTTTGGGGCGCTTTAGATGAGCAGCTTTTGACGTGTTGAATGGGAAATTGCTTTTTCCCTCCTGCTTATGAGACTCTGCTCTGAAGACTTGAATTGCAGAAGGCTCTGGGGTTGGCGAGCCTTGCCTCAGCCGAGCAGGTGGGTGGTGCCGGCTCAAGGCTCCAGGCCAGGCTGAGCCAGGGAGAGGTCTTCCAGGGCACAGGGTGGGGACATCAGGGGTCAGGACTCACTCTGTCACTTGGCTCCCCCGTGTTCTCAGGCCTCCCTGCCCCTCCCCTCTCATTCCTCGTCAGTCTCCGCTGACAGACACTAGGAGGTCTTCTTGTCCCCTGCCCAGGCAGTACCATGGCCAGGTCCCTTCCTTCTGTCCATCACATGGAAGGAGGAGTCCCTCCCCACCAGCTCCGGGCAGGGGCCAGGCACCGCGGTGAGTACTGGTGGCAGGGCTGTGGATGACCACCAAGTCCCAGCTGGCCTCAGGGTCCCTCCCGGCGGCCTCCTCACCTGCCCTCACCGGGTCCTTCCCTCAGGTTTCTACACTTAGGCCCACCTGGCTTGCAGTCCAGGGGAGAAGCGTAGCCCCCACTCCCCTGACTTGCAGAGCCCAGCCACAAACTCCGGAAATCCTGCAAAGACCAGAGGACTCTGAGGGGCAAGGGACAGTGGGCAGTTCAGGGGGGAATGAGGGTGTGGCAGAGTGTCGCATGATCTCTGCCAAGGCCCAGAGTCTCCTGGCCCCTAACAGAGCAAAAGAAAGCAAGACAGGTAGGCTTGTCCTGCCTCGGGCTGCGTGGGAGTCCCACCCTCCACACCTGGCTAGCTGGCAGCCCCGCGAGGGGACCCAGCTCTCCCAACCCACAGACTGAGCCTCCCCTCCCCCACTGAAAGCTGCCAGAGGTCAAGGGCAGCTGGAGTCTCCTTCGTCTTTTTGTCTCTGCAGGCAGGAGACACCGTGCACCCACCCACAGGCACCATCTGGCCTTGCCGGGGACAGCTTCTGCCGACAGCACCAGATAAACCAAACACCAAACAAGCACCCAATCAGCTTGTCATGGGAAGTGCAGTGACAGTGGTGACAGGACCAACATGCAACCCTCGAAGGGCGAAGAGGGAAGGGAGCAGAGTCTCCCTGATGCAACAGATCCAGTGTCCCCATACAGTATGAAACTCGCCTGTCCACCCAGGAACCAGGAAAGCCACCCCTGAATGAGGAAGACACGCACCAGCCGCGCCCACTGGGGTGAACAGGTATGGGGATGAACTGGCCGGGGCTTTAGAGCAGCGTCAGCAGCTTCAGCAGGCAACCACGGGTTGTCTAGAAACAAATGAGAAAAAAGAACATCTCAGCCAACAAACCGGTATTTAAATTGGAGGGCATTTTTAGAACTGAAAGATCTGATAACAGAAATTAACAAACACCGTTTTAGAATGCAGATGACAGAAGCTGGAATTTGAGAACAGAGAGAGAATTTGCCCAATCTGAGCAGGGCCTTGGGGGGGGGGGCGTTGAAAGGATCACAAAAGACCCAACACTCATGTGGTCGGCGTTCCGGGGTGAGAAGAGCCAGGCTGAGAGATTGAAAGAAATACAAAAGCTGGTGCTGTGTGGCCGATCGTCCCAGCTCCTCCGGAGGCTGAGGCAGGAGGGTGGCTTAGCCCAGGAGTTCAAGGCCAGCCTGGGCAATGTAATAAAACCCCATCTGTTAAAAGCAACCACAAAACCCCAACAATTACAAAACAAAAAATGAAAGTGAGAAAGGCCAAGGAACCTAAACGGCAGTGAGGCTGGCCCGGTCCACTCCGGGTGCAGTCCAGACGGTAGCTTGTTACCATGGACATCCTGATACCCAGTGCAACTGGGAAGAAAGCAATGAGAATGGACACACTCAAGATCATTATGAAGAAATAGATAGACAATAGTAAGGTAGATCCCAGAAATCTGAGCAAAGATAAACAGGGAAAACAGATAGAAAACAGATATTTAAATGGTGGACCTAAGTCCTAACATACTGACCATTTACGTTCAGTGTGGATCTTTTAAGCACACCAAATGACAAAGCAGAGATTGTCAGAGTCTAGTTTTTTTTTTTTTTTTTTTATGACCCAATTATATACTGTCGACAAGAAACTCACTTCAAATTCCATAGTGACATTTCAGAAAAAAAGGAACATACAGAAGGCTGGAAAGCACATGGAAAGGTACCCAACAGGAGCCCTTGGGAAATGAAATCCAGCCACACCCAGGTGCCTCCAACACCCATCAAGACGAAAAAGAGTGACGTTACTGAGTGCTGTCGAGGATGCAGAGAAACGGGGGTCCTGGTACAGGCTCGTGGGAATGTAAAATGGTTCAGCCCCTCTGGAAAACAATTCAGCAGTTTCTTATAAAACTAAATGTACCATCGCCACAGGTGTGCACTCTTGACATTTAACCCAGAGAAAAGGAAGCTGTTGTGCACACCAAAGCCTGTGTACAGTGGTGCGCAATAGTGCACACCTACAATCCCAGCAACTGAAGGGGCCAAGGAAGGAGGATTATAACTTTGAGGCCAGCCTCAAAGTTAGTGGGTTTCTGTCTCAAAATAAAAAATAAAAAGGGCTGAGGATGTAGCTCAGAGTAGCTCCAGGTCCCGACCCTGGTGCCATCAAAACAAAACAGAAAGTAAGACAAAAATAGACCTCTGCACAAATGTCCACTGCAACTTTGTTTGCAATAAGATCGACAGTCAAACAACTGCCAGGGTCAAAGGTTTAAACAAACTGTGGTCGGTCCACAACACGGAACACGACTCTGTGATAAAAAGAACCGACGATGGAGACCCACGACAACTTGCCTGAATCTCCAGGGAATTTTGAGTGTGTGTGCCGGGGGGACAAATCCCAAAGAGTTCCATGGCATATGATTCCATTTGTGTAATACTCTTGAAGTGAGAAAACTGCAGAAATGGAGAACAGATTGTGAGAGGGGGCTGGAGAGGAGGCCAGAGGGCAGGAGCCACCCTCAGGGCTGGGCCTGTTAAGGTCTTGACTGTGAGGGATCCACACGACCACCCAGGTGACAGCACCGTATAAAGGAAACACACAAGCCAGGACCAGCGGAGTGGGCAATGCTAATGAGGTCAGGGCCTGGAATCAGCATCAGCACCGGGTCGTAATGTTGGACTCGAGTTTTACAAGTCATCTTCGAGGGATGCTCTTGGAGGGTCCGCAGGCTTAGTCTTTGTTGTTTCTTGTAATCGCATGCAAGTCTACAAGTATTTCAGCAGTAAATTGATTTTTAAAATAAAAAAATGAATCAAACCAACCTCCTGAGTCCAGACCTTCAGTTCTGCCATTCATCTGTCTCTCCACCGTGTCCCCAGTCCCCATCTCCATCAGGACCAAAGGTCCCATCTAGCAGCTCAACTCCATCATCCCCCATCCACCTTAGTGACCTCTAGTGTCGATAAATTCAAGTTACGTCTTGGCTGGATTCTCCCGAAAGCAAAGCCTGCGCGATAAGCTGGCTTTATTTGCAGGTGGCTTCTCTGGAAAAATGGATTCAGGGAGCAGGAGTGGGGAGGAGGGAGGAAAGAGGCGAGGGGCTGAGCCAGCAGAGACGCTTCGGGAGTCGCCATCGCTATGGCAACTGGTGCCCAGCCCCAGGGGCCTCACTCAGCACTGAGCACATAGCAGGGGACAAGATCTGTTCATCATGTGTCCCCACCACTCTGGGTGACTCTGTGGGCACTAACTCCCCTGAGTTGCGCGCACGTGTGTGTGTGTGTGTGTGTGTGTGTGTATGTGTGTGTGTGTGCACGCCCCTTGGGAGGACGGGAGAGAAGCTAGGCTGTCGATGCCAGGAGAGCGTCTGTGTCCATCTCTGGGCTTCTGAGATCATCAGCTTTGCGGCTCTCCTGTGGTGGTGTCCAAGCTGTGGGCAGTTGTCAGAGGAGGCTTCCCCCTAGGATCAAGGTCTACGCAGATGACTCCTCTTCCAAGCCTGGCCAAGAGCCGGGGCTCCTGGGCTCCTGGAGGGGTGGGCAGACTCGGGCACGCTGTGGAGTCTCCAGAATCTGCCCAGCTCAGCTGAAAGCACTGAAGGAGCACAGCTTCCGTCCAGCTGGCCCCAGGGTGTGCAGGCTCAGCATGGCCAGGCTGCCCCCGGGCGCCCCAGAGGACAAGACCCAGCAGAGGGAGGCGCCAAGTCCCTGTCTTTTGAGCTGAACTGCCAAGAAGTGTCCACTGAGGACAAGAGGGGAGCAGGCTCCACTGTGGCCCTGGGGAGGGTGCAGCCCCGAGGCTGAGGGGATCCTTGAGCCACAGGACCAGAGCCTGGTCTGCTCGGCCGGGAGGTATTCGCCGAGCAAACAGGGCCAGGTGTGTGGAGTGGACGCCGCCTCGGGGCTGCAGCTGTCCTGAGGGTCACATCTCCCCGCATGTGGCAGGGAGGAACAGGACATTGTGAAACTACGACCCGCAGAGACGGCAGGACTCATGTGGGGTGGGCGTCCGTGTGTCCTGATACAGAGGAGGGGCAGCAACTCTGAAGTCTCTCCGCTGCAGACATCCTTGGGGTTTTCCCCAAACCAAGAACGGGTGTCAGTGCCATTAGGAACCCGTGCCGACGCAGCCTCAAGGTCCCTGGGGTTGTCCAGACTGCCCTGTCCATGTCCCCTGACTCACAGCTCCACTGTCTGCACACAGGGGCAGTTTTGTTAAGAGCCCGAGATCCTGCTGTGGTGCGTCTGGCGGACCCATCTGGCCATGGCTTTTTCCTCCCTGGTGCTGGGGATCCAGCCGGGGGTCCTCACATGCTGGACAGGTGCTGTCCTATGAGCCACACCCCCAGGAAGCACAGCATCGTCTTAAGCCCCCAGTTCTGCAGAGCCCAGGTGGAGGCCCCCTTGCCGGTCTCCAGGGCCACTGCAGTGTGAAGCCGCCCAGGCGAGGCCCCCCGCCTCAGGGCCACGGTGGAGGTGGATTCTGGAACACCTTCCGTCCTGCATTCAGCGTAAGTGGGGCAGAGGGAGGCGCCAGTCTGCAAGGAGACGCCCACAGAGAGGTGTGAACCTACCATGTCCTCTGGCTGCAACCTCCGCCCTCTGTCACCGCAGACTGCATGTTCTCACCCACCTGGAGCCCACACTTGGTCCTGGTGGACTCAGCCAGCCCCAGCCTCTCCCGCTCAGTCGGCCTCCACCTCGCCCCATGTTCACCCACAAACAAAGAGCTGCCGGATGCCTCCTCAGCTCGAGGGCTGGTCCTGCCCCTGCCTCCACGCTGGCAGCGTGGCCCCGGTCTCCACCTAGCCGCCCTGTATCACCCCGGAACAGAGCGGCCAGCCCGCTCTGGCTCTGAGCACTGGACATGCTCAGCAGGGGGCAGACCTTGGTTTGGGGCCTTGGATTAAAAGCCCACAGTTCATCCAGCTCCCAGACGCAGGGCCCAAGCCCATGTGCCCTGGCTGACCTCATTAGCAGCTGGACTCTTTCTGTGCCTGGCTTATTTAACTCGGCATAATGATCTCCAGTTGTTATCTCTGTTGTCACAAATGACAAAATTTCACTCCTTTTGATGGCTGAATAGTGTTCCATGGTGTATGTCTATCACATTTTCTTTACCCAGGCCATCTTGCAGATCTATCCCTGTCAGAGCTCTTGGACCGCTGGTTGAGGCCCTTCCCATGCTGTTCCTCTAAGATGGAGACTCCCAGGGGCCACAGGAGTTGCGCCTGAGGGTGGGTGTCCGGGGATGGGACACCCTCCACCTGCTGGTTATTGGAAAGGAGGAGGAGGAGGCAGGGCCCCCAGGGGGTCCTTGGAGAGTTCCCACCTGGTCAGCCATCGCCCCAAGACTTTGACCCCAGGAAGGAGGCTTAGAGGGGGCCTCTTGCCCCTTTCCACCCTCTCCCAGGGATGTCTGTGCCGTGGAGTCCTGGGCCAGCACCCTGGGCCTTCCCGGCCCTCTCTGTACTGACCTCAGCGCAGATCTGTAAGCACATCCCTGTCTGAGGTAGGGACCAGAGAGCAAGGGGCCTGCCCTGGCCTGGGGCCGCAGGAGCTGGGGAGCTGAGCAGGCGGTGCCTGAGTCCTCCACAGACCCGCCATCCCCAGCCGGCACTTAATCCTCCATCTCTGCTACTTAACCTCTCCCACCAGGGACAGGGCACTTGAACTCCTTTTAAATAAGCCCTTGAGGGCTCAGAAGGAATTGTTGCCAGCAATTCAAAACCCCAGGCCCCGGGGGCAGCCAGCCAGCTGCTGAGGGTCCCAGGCTGCCACCAGAGGCCTCCCCATGCTCAGAGGCCCAGGCCTGCCCTCCGGGGGAGACAGCCCCCTGGGAGGAAGGCATTGGCATCCCCACACCTGGTCCGGCCTCAAGGACCCATTCGCTGGCTGCCTGGCTAAGCCTCCCCTCGAGCTCTCTTTGGCCCAAGCCCAGGGGACCTCGGCCAAGCAGACCTGAGTCCAAACCCCTCCTGCCCCAGGACTTCTGGACCATCCCTGAGCCCAGCTTCCTCCCTTCTCTGCAGAATGGATTAAAGGCAGGAGGACAGGAAGCCACCTGCCCCAGTCACTGCAGTTGGTAGGCACGTCCATCCCACCAAGAAACCCCATGCCAGGCAGGCCTCTGCAGGAGGACCCGGCAGCCTAGGCCCGGGCGTTCTGAGGCTGACCAGCTCCGGAGTTCAGGTCCTCAGACAAACGCTGTCCATGGTTACCTTCGAACGTCAGATACACACACAGCAGACCGTTTTTTACCATAAGTATATCCCAAATCCGCCTGGGGCAGTGAGTCGTTAATCTGAAATTCAAATTTAAGTGGGGATCCTCTGTTTTTATTTGGCAAATCTGGCAACCTTGACTGAAATATCAAGTCAGGTTGGAGGGTTAGCGGGGTGTGACGGTTTCAGTTTGGGTTTTTAAAATCCACTGGTGGGAGAGGGCAGAAAAAAAATCATTAAGTGAAGAGCAGACTACACTGTCTTCGCTGTTTGTCTTCACAATTTAAGGCCTAGAGAGTGAGCCAGACGGAGGCATCAGAGGAGAGGCCCAGGCACCCAAGAAAGACGGGAAGGGACTGACAGAGGCCGTCTCCCCTTCCTCCCTCCTCCCCCTCTCTTCTCCTCTTTTCCCTTTCATTTTCCAACATTTTTCACAAACGTCTTACTTTTGCATCAATCACGTAAGTGGACTCCCAGGGTGACCAAACGGAAGAGAAGTCCTCATGCATCTCGGGGTCCTCCTGCCCTGGGGCCTCCTGAAATCCTGGGGAAGCCCGCCCACGGAGGGCCGCCTGCTCCCTGACACCCTTCATTCCGGCCTCCAGGACAGAAGGGGGCCCAGGGCGCTGGCCTCAGGGGGCCACACTGTGCTTCCAGACACAGCCCCGTCCCCTCCCGCCCTTGGTTCTGTTTCCGTGATTTTCAGTTTCCTCCCTCGCTGTCAGCTGTCATCGCAGCCGCGTGCCCGCCTCTCCCAGCCATTCTCGCTTCTGTTTTCCTTCCAGTCCCCCGCGAACCGGCAACAGGCAGGGCCACGGCGGTCAAGGTTGCTGTGAAGTTGGAGTGAGTCGACGCCAATGAGAGCCAAGCGAGCCCGTGCCCGGTGGTGCGCAGGCCTTCCGAAGTCCCTCCAGGCTTGCCAGTCCCCGCTGAGCACTCAGGGCTCTCCTGGCCCCCCAGCTCTCCGCAGCTTGGTGAAGGTTGCAGTTTTCCAGAACCGTTCACCAGATCAGTGGACCTATGAAAAGACTCCAGGTCCCGGCTCAAAGCCTACACCTCTGAAGGCACAACCTCCACTACAGTGAAGGAGCGTGCCCCCAGGGAGCTGAGGACCCCAGGACTTGAGGGAAGCTCATGTGAGTTGACCACGTTTAAAGGCACACAGTCGGGTTCTGCTGAAGAAGGTGAGCCACTCTGGCCGCTTGCACAGGGCGTGAACTTAGGAGCTCACAAAACCATTGGAAGGACCAGAGAAACAGGTCTACCTTGGCCTCCAAAATGACCCCCAGGACACACCTGGCTGCCCACCAAGAAGCCATTCCTGTGTCACATCAGGAGGGTGGGCACAGGGCACACTGGCTCCAGGATAGCCAGTCAACCTGAAAATCAGCAGGTGGCCACAACCGGCCTCATCTGCTACCTTCACACTGGCCCCAAAGTGGCCAGCCCTCGCCCTCCCTCTCAGCACCATTGGAAGTGGCCACCAGCCCTGGGATGCTGCCCAGAGCACCCAGCGCCAGGCTTGCTGAGAACGGGCTCAGGCCTGGCCTGCACGTCCCAAGAATGCATCTGACGGGTGAACCCAAGGGCAAGCCACCCAGGGCAGGCCTTCCGCCCTGTCTCTGCAGGTGGCCATGGCTGCGAAGGGAGCACAGGCTCAGGACTTGCAGGCAGGTCCTTTGAAGGCACAAGCAGGAGGGGCCAGGTGGGGACAGCCTGGGCCAGCTCTAGAATCATTTGCTGAATCCAGCACTGTGGTCCTGGCCCCAGGACTGCAAGCTCTAGGCTTTGGTGAGATCATTGGAGTGCTTGGTAAAGCTGCAAAGTGGGGCGCCCAGAACTGTCCCCGACGGTCACCCAGCACAAGCCCCTCTCCCTCCTCCACAACAGGCATCCCATGCTTTTCATCCTTGGCCTGACCAGGTCCAGAGGGATGGAGGGGGCCAGCTCAGAAAGGAGACAGGCCACAGGGGGATGCCACCCCAGGCAAGGAAACGTGCTGGGCCCAATTTTGACCCGTTGGTTAGCCTGTATGCTTTCTGTGGGTTCTTTGAAATGGGCCAGGCGGGAATGTTTACACCCTGGGAAGTGGCAATGGACACAAATTGGGGCTTTTTGTTTACATTCCCCAGAGCCAATGATTAAACACCAGCGGGCCATCAGTTGAGGCGAGGAGGATGGGTGGGGTTTCTGCAAGGCTGTGAGCTTGGTGGGCCTCATTCTGGCTGCCAGAGAAGACCCCTGGGTGCTCTGACTGAACCCAAGGCCCTGACCTCAGCTCAGCCAAGCGACTGAGGAACTGCAGGCAGCGGCAGCTACACAGGGCCTGGGGTCAAGGGCTGGCAGACAGAGGTCCTTTGACTGGGAGGCACTGCTGCTGCAGATGGGAGAAGAGGCAGAGGCAAAGTCCTTGCATGAGCTGTGACGTGTGGCCCGAGGCTACTGGCCAGAAGGGGAAGCGGCAGGGCAGAGAAGGCATGTGAGAGACGGCGGCAAGGGCAGGAAGCCCCACCTGGGTCACCTGCTTTTCTCAAGGAGGGAGCCGTTTCATTGGGGAAGGGCTCGGGGGGTGCTGCCCTTGGGAGTGATGCCCCCTCCACCAAGTCCACTCGCGATGAGGACACGGGAGGCTTGAAGCCACAGTTCCCCTAATGGCACTGGTGACCTCTGCCAAAGTCACAAAGCTCCCCCTTCCAGCTCACCCAAACCATGGGGTAGGTCAGGGGAGGTGCTTCACGGCTTTACGGTGTATGGGGAAAAAAATGCATGTGATTAAAAGCTAAATCGTA